GACAGTCATGACAAACGTCTTTCTTGTGTTCACCACAAACTGTCTTTTTGCATTTGGCACAGGTCATCTTTGACATTCTTTTCTTTTTAGACGTGCAAAGACTGCAATAACGCCTTTTTTGGCTGAGGGTTCTTCTTCATCATCTGTGGAAGCCTGTACAGCAGATTTTGGAAGAATATTTTCAATGTTGCTTCGCACATGCCTTGGCAAAGTGGGTGCTTCCAGTCTTTGCGTCATCCACGGTGCAGTCAGTTGTTTATTTCGCAGGCGCCTCTGCGACGTAGGTTATCTTTCTCGGGTTAATGCGACTTCATTGTGCTCTTGCACAGGATATTGTTCATTTTGTTCATGGCAACATTTAATCGAAAATAAAATAGATGATTTTGTTTGTATATTAACAGTATATCTACGGGCAGTTTCCGAATAGTTTTTTTAAAATCGACGAATGATAGCTAAGAATTCCTTAAAAAATTGTTCAAAAGCTAGGATAATCTGGTCTATAATCCATCAAATTATTTAGATTAATATAATAATATGTAAAATATATAAAAATATATGATTTTGAAATTACAATTTAATGTAAAATTATCGTGATTTATTTAGGCACAATTCAGTCGTTGCAATGGCTACTACAGCAATCTTCTGTCACATAAAATATGAACTTAGTTCTATACTATAATTTAGACATGTAAAATTGATTTCATGAGAAACGTATAAAAACAGAAATTCACGAGCGCTTTCACTATTGTATAGATTTTAACACGGTGCTACACAAAAATTGAGAGATACGAAATTAAAATAATGAATTGCACAATAAAACAGACTTATTATAATAAAACATGTTGATTTAATGAAAAATGCATAAAAAGTGTATTTATAAGAGATTGTTACTGTTGTATTCGTTAAATACAATATTACGTGTAACTGGGAAATGCAAAATTGTTTTGAGGAAAACTCTACGGAGAAGAAGATTAACGATGCTCTTTACCAATTATCGATACAATTCAATAAAATACTGCTAAAATTTTTAATGAAAGAAAATCTGTAAGCGTGTATTTATTCCCTCGAGTACTGTGTAGAACTCGAGGATACCGAATTGATTTAAAGAAAACGTGTAAGGATTTAATAATCGAGATGATAATCGAAATTCGGAGATCTTAGAAATCGCTGAACAGCGCAGACTGTCGTCAAACGATGAACTACCGATAACAGGACCGCAATAAAAAAGGCGGAATAAGTGGAGAACGATGTCCTCTCGTCTAAACGAAATATCGCGTGTTCTTTACGGTTACGGAGGCGCTAAAGAGACCGTACATCTTAATGCGATATCCTGCTTTGGGCGTTAGGTTCGTTAACGCGACGAAATGAAAATATGAATTCGGTCTAAGAAAAAGAGCGAACCCGTGTAGAACGGAGTGGCACCGATTCGAGGGGAGACCGCGCATTAAAACGGTAACGATCCCGGCGGATTCTTAAGTGAACGAAATACGAGCCTCGTCGTTATAGGGAGCGGTGGTCTTCGTCCTGGTCGCGTTAATGACGGAATCTCTCTCCCCCTCTCTGTTTTTCCTTCGCCGGCTTTTCCGATGGAACTTCTTACGAGCAATCCCCGGCTAAAAGGATTCGACAATAAACAACGGTGAGCCTCGAAATTAGGCGTCGGCGGTTGCCAGTCAAAAAAGAACATACTTCGGTGCTTCGAACCACCCCTCCATCCTCGATGGTCAATGGATTAACGATGTTGCGACGAGAAGATGGTTTTTAATTTCGCTGGCGAGTGGGGAGGGAGGGGGGTTCATTGTGAATTTCACTGGTACGAAATTTGCGAATTTTTGCTTTCATGCACCATGAAATTAAATTTTTTACTTCGATTCGAACGTTTTCTTCATTCTTTTCGCAATCGCTTTGATTAACGCTTCTTCGATTTTAATCATTTTTCTGGTAGAACGAGACAATTCTTTTGTTTGTTGCACAGTCTCGAATTGCTTTCGTTCGTAGAATTTGGAAACGGAAGAATCGTTCGTGGATTTGGAAGAAATAAATAATGTGAATATTATTCGATGGCTCGGTGTTATTATTCAAGGGGTTAAATATTCTGTCTGTGGTCATTTTAAAGGTTGAAGTCTCTTCTTTATACTCGAATTTATCTTTCAAATTATATTTGAAAGCATTTGAAATTTATATTTGAATTTTTATAAATTTCAATGATTATAATTTGGCTTTACAAAGGTCGCTTTATTAAAATCGAAATGAAGCAAAACCTTGGGATACAGTCTAAACATCTTTTTCTTCTAAGAAAGATGAAACAGGAGCATGATTAATTTAGTAATTTTAATGAACCGCGGATTTTACACATTTATAGCAAAAACGAATTGATCAAATACAGATCTATAAAGGCAAAGGAAATTAAATGGATTGTTACACTATTTTCAACCTCCTACAATCATTAAACGAGGAAAGACATTTCCAACTAACTTATATTTCTTACAATTACACAATTTTTATTCTACATGAGTATCCACTAATTCGCAAAAGGGACAAACGAGTGTTAAGAAAGGGCATTCAGGCGAAAATCAACTACGAGCAATTTTGCAAATAAAAGTCTGAAGATATCCATTTTGACAGCATATTTTACGCTGATTCAAATTACGCGCAAGTTATTTTGCCAATTAATTTTTTTGCTAACAGAAAAATCTTATTTTATGTAGAAAGATAAGATAATGAATTCCTAGAAAAAAAATGTTTCTATTATCAAAAAACTGAATTGGCAAAATATGTAATTTGCAGTTAATTCCAAATCAGCGTAAAAAATGCTATCGAAATGGGTATCTTCGAACTATTAGCTGGAAAATTAGCTATTGGTAGTTGATTTTATATTAAATAATAAAGCATAAAAATGATTTCCACGTTCGGTGGGCCGCGCGAGGATTCAGCCGAAAGGTAAAAGAAACTGAAAGAAGGACGGTATTGTTGCAGGCGACCAAGGGGGCCCCGAAGGACCCAGAGAATCGAAAGGGGGCGACCGTGAACATCGAGGGAGCACGGCTTATCGCGGGTAAGTGTATCTAATTACCCTTGCCGTTTACGTCAACGATTTGCAGTGATTTACGGCGAAATTGTACCGGCGACCTTCGGCCAGCGAAACCACGGTTCCGGGACGCTGAGGGGGGCTCTCGAGGGGCTGGGGCGGGGGTACAGGAGTGGGAACGGGGAACGAATCAGCTAAGCGGTCCGCGGGTAAAAAACACTAAAGGATTCGGTCATTTATCACGGCGGTGGTGCCCCCGGGGCACCACGGGAATGAAAAGGGGAGGAATATAATCCGTTGGACAGACTAATCGCGCACTAACTATCCACATATTATCTACAATAATTCCATGGTAACCGAGTGGGGGTCCCATTCGACCGGGCGTCGCGAATCGATTTCAAAGTCTCTATGGGATCTCTGGGATCTCTATGAGGTTCCGATAATCGAGGCGAAAGTTGCGTGAAAAAAGTGTGGCCAACAGTGTGCAAACTGTTGCCGATAGATCGAATTTTGATCACTCGCCTGCAGATTTTGTGCATTCGTAAATGAAGCTAAACTTTAGACTGAATAGCTACGAATATTATTACCAGATCACGGATGTTCGTGCATTTGTGGCGGATACAGATTTTTCAAATGCAATAAAATGTATAAACTAACTTCGGTCCAGTAGCATTTTTATTTTATTTTATTTTCGCAATGAGTAAACTCTTTCACCCGACGAAGAACATTTTTCTTTAATTTTGATTTTTGTAAAATAATATACGAAAATAAGAAGTCGCATAAAGATCCACAATGTAATTTTTACAATTGTAAAGTGGACGACTGCTGATTTTTATGTGAAATGAAATTTCTTTACTTAAATTGCAAGAAACAGAAACTATAAATAATAGAAAATTCTTTTTCTTTGAATAATTTGAATGGATCAGGATTAATACATTGATATTTTCAATGGTTCTAATCGTTATACTGTTTTCAATTGTAAGTGCCCGATTTTCTCAGTAATGCATAAGTTACGTGGTCTATTTATTTGTTGCTTTTTTTAGTAATCGTCTACTGTCTTGAAGCAATTTTTCTATGAAATCAATTATCATTGCACTAAAAACGAATTGTCTTAATCCGCGAGCTCTATAATACCGTGTCAGACACGTTGAGAAAATTTAGAACATGATCTATTAAATAAGGACATTGGAAACGATTTTTAAATCGAAATAAAATTCTACCCACTAATGCAGACGTTCGTATAGAATAAATTTAAGTTAACTGTATTACAGTTTATTGATGGCAATTTATTAATGACAAACAAATATTATTCCTTTATAGTCGAGTGATGACACAAAGGCGCCTCTAAAAATTGTCACATCACTTTCCAAAATAATTTCAACCGCTTGCACTATAGCAACGAGGCAGGCTCGCGACGAACATTTTGTACGTAATCTAGTAAACATGAATACTATTCATTTCTTGCAAATCGAAACGAAATTGGATTAATCTGTTATCAAAGTTTCGGAACGACAGCAAATGAAACAGCATAGACGAAATAAAAATTGTCTTGTCCTATCAGAAAAATTACGATGACGTGTCAATGCAGTTGACCGGAATTGCAGTTTTTCGATGCTGTTGTGGAAGAAATCGTAGTGCAAGGAATTAGTATCATCGAATTTATGTTTTCAAAAAACTGTTAAAAAGTATAGCTGTGTCGCACGAGCCGCAAAATTCAATCTCGAATGTGTAAAATGCAAATACTATAGGTCAGAAAAAAACTATTTTGAATTTCGAGCTAAAATGGCTGCAACTGCAAATGGTTAGCCAACATAATTGCGAAAGAAATCGTAACGCGCGAGGTTAACAAAAGAAAATGTGTGCGTGTCCCAAACGGCGCGGCGTGTAGAACACGTTCCATGGAAACATGGGGAAAGAGCGGCGTCGCTTCCGAACGATTAAAGAAAAAACCTAAACGTTTGCGCAATGCCTCCCATCGGATGCCTCTAACTACGGTTGCAAGCTATTTTTGCGGGTCCGAGGTTACCTGGCCGCGGTAAATACATCGGCGCTCTCCCGGCAGTTATTTCGAGTCCTGTCGCGCGTAAATAAAGTGAACCCGAGCGTGGAAATTAATTAGTGTACCGACGGGCAAAGTATAGGGAAAACTCGGCCCGTCATCGCCATTTAATTGACAAACAAATTTCATTTGCTGTTCGACCCGCAGTGCCCGGCTCCGTATAATCGGCGATACTTTATTGAACGTGATCGTTTTATTGGCAGACCGGAACCGCGTGCACGATGTGTATACGCGGCCGACGCCGAACTCGTTGCGTTCGTTAACCGAACCCGCGCGATTCCCTGCGAACACGACCGCGGACTTCGTTTAATTCTCCGTCGCTCATTATTTTTCGAAATCCGCGCTCTAGTAATTCTCTAATAATTAGCCGCCGCGTCATTCCGGCTTCAATTTATCAGCTATGACCTCACTTTTAACGATCGGCTGCTCCGGTGCACAGTTTTCAGATCGTGCCTGTACACAAATTCGCTGAGAGAACTGTGATTAGTCCGGCAATATTTATGCGAACTTTTATAAGCTTGCTCATTGGAAACGGAATTTGATGAAAACTCTGGTTTACGTCATCGACGATTTTATTACAGTTGCGAGCAAACTGAAGGCCAATTATACGTTTGCAAATGTTTTTCTATTCGGACTATGTAAATCCTGTGCGTGCATTCAATTTGCTGTCCCACGATTAGTCAGATTTGGATTTGATTGGTCGCGTAAACATTGAATTAGGACCAATCAACGCTGACGACATTTAAATTGCAAATGGCTCAAACGCGTAATGATACGTTTACGAGAATAATGAAACTAGAAACGTAAAACGGCGAAAAAACGTCCGAGAGTGCTCGCGCAGTATTATATTTTTTAATCGCGTCCCAGTGTATCAACAGTCATTTTCATTCGGATTCATTAAATGTGAAATAATAGATGGTGGACAGGATGGTGGACAAATTTCGTTCCCGAAAGCTCGGGCTATTTTAATGAGCATAATTAAGCGAACTTTCCACGGGAAACGAGTAATCTACAGAATTGCTTTTAAAAACTGTATTTATTGACTGCAATCAGAGTCATAACAGTCTACCTTTCGAACACGTGCATACGAGAGATTTATATTAGACCGGAGATCTTTGTACATTTCCATAAATACTGAGTTTATAAAACATAAGAAACGGCCTAATCGCCAGAAACAGTTTTCTGCAAAAATTTGTTCGAAACAGGAAACTAATCATTTTGATTGACACAGTAAGTCCAATCTGAAACAATTGCCGTATAATAATATTCGTTTCACGAACCGACAAGAAATTAATTTAGCACCGCAAAAATTTGTACGGAACAGGAAACTAATCATTTTGATTGACACGGTAAGCTCGATCTGAAACAATCGTCGTGCAATAATATTCATTTCACGAATCGACAAGAAATTAATTTAACACCGCAAAAATTTGTACGGAACAGGAAACTAATCATTTTGATTGACACGGTAAGCTCGATCTGAAACAATCGTCGTGCAATAATATTCATTTCACGAATCGACAAGAAATTAATTTAACACCGCAAAAATTTGTACGGAACAGGAAACTAATCATTTTGATTGACACGGTAAGCTCGATCTGAAACAATCGTCGTGCAATAATATTCATTTCACGAATCGACAAGAAATTAATTTAACACCGCAAAAATTTGTACGGAACAGGAAACTAATCATTTTGATTGACACGGTAAGCTCGATCTGAAACAATCGTCGTGCAATAATATTCATTTCACGAATCGACAAGAAATTAATTTAACACCGCAAAAATTTGTACGGAACAGGAAACTAATCATTTTGATTGACACGGTAAGCTCGATCTGAAACAATCGTCGTGCAATAATATTCATTTCACGAATCGACAAGAAATTAATTTAACACCGCAAAAATTTGTACGGAACAGGAAACTAATCATTTTGATTGACACGGTAAGCTCGATCTGAAACAATCGTCGTGCAATAATATTCATTTCACGAATCGACAAGAAATTAATTTAACACCGCAAAAATTTGTACGGAACAGGAAACTAATCATTTTGATTGACACGGTAAGCTCGATCTGAAACAATCGTCGTGCAATAATATTCATTTCACGAATCGACAAGAAATTAATTTTACACCGTAAAATTTTGTTCGTAACAGGAAACTAATCATTTTGATTGACACGGTAAGCTCGATCTGAAACAATCGCCGTACAATAATATTCATTTCACGAATCGACAAGAAATTAATTTAACACCGCAAAAATTTGTTCAAAGCAGAAAACTAATCGCTTTGATAGCCATAGAAAGTTCAATCTACCGCAATCTACCTAAATTAGAATTTATTGCACAAATCAACAAGAAATTAATCTAGTACTCCAATGAAGGAAATATTTTATTTGAAAAAAAAATCAATCATTTTCTACGGTAGAGTTTTCATAGAACCAACAATTTTAAAATGTATGAGAACGTTCATTTTGACCAGCACCGTTCAAGATTTATTGCCCAAATTGGCATGGAACTGATCTAGAGCATCGCAAAAATTTGTTCAAAATAGGAAACTATTCGTTTCGATTGACGCAGCAGATTTTTTCTAAGACAATGTGCCAACACTCAAATTTATCGAACAAGTAGACAAACAATTAGTTATGTTCAAAATAGGAGACTAATCGTTTTGATTGACACGGTAGGTTCAATGTAACATAATCTACCTGAATCAGAATTTATTGTACAAATCAACAGCGAAATAATACAGCATTGCAAAAATTGGTTAAAAATGGGAAACTGATCATTTTGATTGGCACAGCAGGTTCAACATAGGACAATCTAGCTACGACAGGAATTACTATACAAATCGACAAGCAATTAATCTAACTTTCTAATTAAAGAAAAATCTGTTCTATTATTCGACCAATCATGTCCCCTCGATGTATTCGCCTAACCGAGGTACCCAGTGTCCAAAATCCGCTTTCGCCGGCCTTACTACCAAGAACTCGTTTGCATCCGCTCGGAGCCAAGCTTCTGTTTACTCCGCGGCGCGAGTAATTGAAAATTAAAGCGGATACGTATCCGCGAAAGAGATCGGTGCACGCGATGCTCTCGAACGGAATTGCTTAAGCAGAGGTGGACGGGGGTGGCTGGCCCGAAAATTACTGTTATCGGAACCGCGGTCCCTAGGTGAAGAAGCGAGACCGACAACGTAAAAAGATACAGTCTCCGGCGAAATTTCTACAAAAGAGAGGGTTCGAAAGCAGGCATAATCCCGTCCATGGTCTCCGCGGACGAGACGGAGGAGAGAAGAGGGAGAGAGAGAGAGAGAAAGAGAGAAAAAGAGAAAGAGAGAGAGAGAGAGAGGGATCCTTTCTCCAATCTCCCAGCGCGGCCGTATTATCGGATATTATCGAGCCATATGGAATTTGGGCCCGAAAATAGTCCCGTGCAGGAAATTGCTAACGACTTAAACGTTGGGGCGGGCGCGCAGGGACCGTGAGTCCCATGGGGCCCCGGTTGTGATGGATGGAGGTTGGCCACTCTGTAATTTGAAGGCGTTACATGTGTACCCTAACGCGTAGTTCTGCAACGATCCTCCATATGTCCCCGATTGTCGTCCTCCTTAACCTCGTGGATCCCACCGGTCGAACATGCGAATTTCATTATTACGGGGACCGGACGTTGCTAACGAACGTTTTCTTGCTTCCTGCACCCCAGCTGCCGTGGACGCCGTTTTATGGCTAATCGTTCCATTGTGTCGCGAGGCTTGCGCTAATTCGTCACGCCGGACACTCTTCGCGGTTTTGCGGATCACGTTTCCTGTCGATTTGCATTTACAGACGTATACACCCCCTGGAACCATAAGCATGTAGTCTCACTTTCTTAATTAAGATAGTCGTATAAAAACAGGTGTGAAATATAAAGTTGTTGTGTTTACTTGGCACTATATCGGAGAGTATATTTCACCGATAACGTATTTAATATTTCACCGATAATAGCCAGAAGACAATTAAATTTTCTTTCCGCTCTTACAATTTCTTTTACCAATTTTAGCATTGTAGCTATGAATTTATTCATTATATTCGAAAAGATATTCTTCCATTCAGCTTCCAGTAATTCCAATAAATGATTGAATACATATCAGCAGCAAAATTTTGTCGACATACAATCGTTTTATAGCATTAATTTGTGTTGCATATCACGAGGCAGCGGATCTTTATGCAAAATAGAAATTGTCTGCGTTAATTGTAAGAAATATAGGATAGATAAAGATACATTTTTTCTTTTAGTAAGTATAACAAATTGACAATGATGTAAAAATACCCTTACATTCTTCTAATGTTTTTGCAGTTTTGCATTTGATGTATGCATTTCTGTCACAAATGCATAAAAACCGCAGTCTATGTATCACTTATTCATTAAAAATGATTTTAGTTATTATTCATTTCAATAATTTAAAAAATTATGTGAACACTTTATTATCTTTTTGTTCACGTACGATATCGAGCTAGGAGATTACTTGCTTATCAACGCAGCGAACAGTGGCGACGAGAAAGATGGAAATGGCTGCACCAGATAGCAGCAGTGCTCAGAAGGATCGCGTTACTCGATCGATAACATTGACTTCGTGACAAACGAGATATAACAATAGATCTAATGTTTAATATATTTTCGTCCACCGAAAATAAAATACTGTTTGTAATTATATTTATATAATATTATTGTAACAATCAAAGCAATCTTTTCAAATACAATTCAAACAGAAACGAATACAATTAAAAAATAAAATACTGTTTGTAATTATATTTATAAAATATTATTGCAACACAATTAAAGCAATCTTTTCAAATACAATTCAAAAATAAAATACTGTTTGTAATTACATTTATAAAATATTATTGCAACAATTAAAGTAATCTCTCCATATACAATT